CAGACAATTATGTTGCCTTAAAGAGTGTGGGTTCAGTATTTCACTCAGTAAAATCATTATGTACATGCATGTGGCCTAAAGAAGTAGAATAGAAACACAGACAGTGTGGGAGGAAATATTTTCCACCTATTTATGACTTCATGTTATGGTTCAGTTCTCTCTCATTTACATGTGTTTATATTAAAGCATGGAATTGATTGTTGGTGTTTGGGGCTCTGTGTGTAAGTACACATGTGCATGTTGGCCTGTTTGTTATAGTAATTGCTCTTTAATTCTTATTAACAATGTATTTATGCCTGTGAGAGTGTTTTTCTATGTTAGCATGCCTCTTTGTGTGTGTGTGTGTGTGTGTGTGTGTGTGTGTGTGTGTGTGTGTGTGTGTGTGTGTGTGTGTGTGTGTGTGTGTGTGTGTGTGTGTGTGTGTGTGTGTGTGTGTGTGTGTGTGTGTGTGTGTGTGTGTGTGTGTGTGTGTGTGTGTGTGTGTTGCGGTATGTCATGCCTTTTGTCCTTTGTGTTTTTTCTCTGCGTAGGGTGTGCTGCCCACCCCTCTGCTGTCCCCGTGGCAGGCACAGCACCAGGGCTTGACCCGTACCAGCATGCCCCAGCGCAGACAGAGTGAGTCACTAACATCCTTTGCTGCCTCTTCTGCATCTTTTCATAAGACAACATGCCACGAGTGGCTAGATAGCATGGGAAAGTTTTGCGTTCCCTCCCGTCCATACCCTCTAAACTACTGAAAAGTGTTCCACCGTAGAAGCACTTACATGATAATAGAAGCTGTTTGTTTTCTTTAAGATTAATTCGGAACACGATTAGTGTCACGCAAAGTAGTTTCTCTTTGTTGTTCTACTAAACATTGTCTAACTTCTTGTCCCTTCACTTGTAATTTACTGAACTCCGTTTCCTATGCTGTTCTTTTATCGTTTCCACTCTCCTTTGTGTGTTTTCCTTTAGTCAGAAAGTCTTCCTCTAAATTATTTTCTAAACCCTGCAGAAACCTGCATTTCTTTTCTTCACGTTGCTCCAATCCTATATTTTTTATACAATCAAACATAATAGGGGAGTGTATAAGGAGTGTAATGTAAGCATAATATAAGTGCATAATAGTTCCTTTCACTGAGAATGTATATTCTGTATTTGACAAATACTACATAGGACTGTAATGTACTATAATTATCTTTGCCACGGATACAAAAAAGTGAAGTATGAAACATTCTCCCGAGTTCTATAAAACTTTCACTCACTGAATTCATTGAGAAAGATAAGAGTGCATAAACAATGACAGCGGAGTCACAACAAGCTCACCTATCTCAGTGAGTCCCATAACAAAGCTTTTTGCTTCACAGTATACCAAGAAGGTAGCAATCAGGGGAGACAGGTAGAGGGAAAGATGACAGATAAATAGACATCAGAAAACGTGCCTCTGTGAGAGAGTGCGGAGCAAAGAAATAAATAAGAATACCCGGGTGTTGTTCCTTTGATTTATCCCAGCGGAGCTCAGTTTTGTATCAACAAGGTGAAAACAGTGGCACAAGGTTTTTTTTTTTGTATATCTTGAGTTTTTATTTGCTCTGCAGTGCTCCTGTGTTTATCAACAACTTAGACAAATATGAGCTCAGAATTCAATTCAAGCATATTTTTCCCTCATCAGTCACAACAAGTTCTAATTAAGAAAAACACAGTATCAAAAGATTGTCTTTCAAAAGGAAGAGAAAAAAGAAGTGGGGGAAGGTTAGTTTACTTGAGCTTGTCTGGATATAGTCAGAACAATGTGCCATCATATTTATAAAATGAGCAACAAAGGGAGGTAGCCTTTAATTATTTCAGCACCCACTGGGAGCTGCTGCTCTTAACGAATCAGGAAACGGGTTCTTGCCGTAATTAAAGCTTTCTAGAGTAGAAAATAGATATTGGAAATTCTCAAATGAGCAAGAATTGTACTCTCTCTTTTCCCCCTGCATCTCTCCCTCTATCCTTTAACCCTTCATTCCCCTCATCACTTCCCTTCACTCTGTCATTCTCAAAATCTGAAATCGAATCTCCCATGTTCTCTCTCTCTCTCTCTCGTACATTTGCCTCCTGTCAATGAATGACTATTGCAAGGAGTGGAGCACCTAGTGCAGTACTTCTATGACACAGCGTGGTACAGTAACACCTTTCTTTAACATGGAGTCAATATGGAGCTCTCTGCTCCTGCACGCTGGGCTGTGGGTTGGCGTCATGTGGCATGTTCTTGGACATCTGCGTTTGCATGTTTCTACTTTTGAGTTGATTTTGAGTTTTAATCCTGTGTTTATTTACTTTGACATTCAGTATACTCTGGAGTTTACAGATACTGTGTCAGTGAAGTTGTCATTTTGTATCGTGTTTTCTTTTACTTCTTCTGCTTAGTTAGATTTTTGTGTTGTTTTTTTCTTTTTAATATTCCCTTTCAATCAAATTAAGAATGTATGAACTGTTATGCATGCGGTGGTAAATCTCTGTGTGGATTTGTCTCTCTGTTTTATTCATCAAACAGTTGCTTTATTATTCAAAGTGTTTGCCCTGAAACATTCGGATGTGAGGTGTTTTTCAAAGGAGTTTCTAAGGTTTCCCTTATCCTATTGGACATGAATGCGTATTACTGCTGTCCTGCGTACTCACTCTCATTCTATCGGAAGAGACCAAGCGGCACAGCGAGCAAAAGAGAAATCTGTGTTATCACACATCCTACATCATTTTTGTTCAATGATACTACGAAATCTGATCGGGCCTTGAAATAGAGTGCAACAGTGTTTCCCACTCAAATTGTCTTCAAGCAGACATAATGTGGAGGATATACACTCTTATTCAGATTCTTGCATGGTGTATTTCTGATCACACAGCCATTCTTCTAGGGGAGAGAGGCTGCAGATGAGAATAGTAATTTTAGGCTTTGATATCTGCCAGGTGCTCATAATTGGTGCATTTCTTGGTTATTTACTCATTGTGTTAAAGTGATTGCTACCGTCCATGAGAGATTACAGATATTTACTCCTTGGCAATGCAAAGAAGAGCTGAAAGAATTTATGCTAATTATTAGTTTCTGTAGCAGACAGCTGTTGATGTAAATAATTGTTACAGGAACTCTATATTGTCGTTACTGCATGTCATCCTCACTGACAGCTGGGCTGGCTTTACACACAGCTTTGCAATTAAGGGTGTCATATACGTCTCCCAGCATTCTTATTGCAAAGGACATTTCAGCTTCTTATTTTTCTCCTAACAAATTTACAGAAGCACAAGTATCTGGGATGTTTCAGTGGGCTTTGCTTTGTTCTGAGAAAATAAGACTTTTTTTTGTTGATTTACTTTGACACCTACTGTTTGTTGATTGTAATAAAGGTCTTTATTTAGCTTTGAACTGTGTGAGTCAGGAATAAGACACAGTACGTCACAGCTTTAAAAAAAGAGGCTAAATGACATGCTGCTGATTTGAGCGACAGACTAATCACAGCTGTTGCAAGATGCAGAAACATTTTCTACTGAAGAGGTCTTTAAAGGCAAACTTTGAAATCTAAAAACAATATGTTCTGGCTGCATGTGAGAACTGACTGTGAGAGGATTGTGGGAGGATTTTGTTGTTAGTTCAGAGGACGCATTGTGGCACGGCACCAGGAGATGGAGCTGTGGCCTCGAACATCCACTCCCTCTCACAACACTAATGACTGATGGTGGAAACAGGCGACACAGCTTGACCTGCACAGCTAAATATACTAATGTCCTCTGAGATTCATTTGATTCACAGCCTTTATGTTCCTACTTAAACTGGGTTTTGTGAAGCTGAAGATCTTTTATGTTTGAAAAAAAAAAAAAAAAAAAAGAAATCTCATGAAATCTGATGGATTAAACCGACTAATTGTTTATGCACGCCTCACAGATGTTGTCTTTAAAATTAGTAATAGGATCAAGTGTTTTAGAGATACTGAGTTCATAAGCTATTCAGAAAATGAACTTTTTTTTTTTTTTTTTTTTTTTTTACTAAATAATATATTCATATATTTCAATATTGACTTCAATTTCTGACCTGAGCACCTCAAGCTCTTGCTGGTGGTTGTGCAGACTAATAAGGACTGTTGATCTCGTATTCTGCTGCCTTTCTGTAAATGTGGTGCTGTGATCTTAAGGCACCAAATATTATCTAGAAACATAGTGTTACAACTTGTAAAGTGATCTACATTTCTTTTTTTAATTGATAACGTCAGATGAAAGTATCTGTAATCTGTGATTGAATCATGATTGAAATGGAATCATAAAAAAAGCACCTGTAAAATCAAAACTTTCTTACAGGTTGTCTTGTGCTGGATAATTAGCAGCTCTCTAACACAAATATTTGACAAAACAAGCTTCACTAAAACAGTCATTGTTGCAGGGCTGTTGAAGGATTTAATCAGATGTTTATGACTTTGTGTTTATACCCTGTACAGTATGTCCCCTAATGTAGGACAACACCACGGTGGGTCTAAGTTTCATGTGGTTAACAACTCAGCACGTTCTCATGCTGGCACCAGGCGTCGGAGTGCTCAGTTTGAATGTTTTGAAGCCTTTCTACAAACAGCGATTTAAAAAAAAAAAAAAAAAAAAAAAAAAACGAATCAAAGACTTCGCTAGATTCCAGGCAAGGTTATTCTCCTCTGCTTGTTTGTTAGTGCTGAATCAGGGCTTCCTCTGTAACTTTTCCTCTCCAATTCTCGGAATGGTTAAGCTGCTGGCGGTGGGAACAGGCTTTGATATTAAAGAGTAAATAAACAAGTCAATGAAAAGGCAGAACATTTCAAATGGATTTATGGTTCAGATTTTTCTCTCCAACTGTAAACTATTCAAAAGCTTTGATTCATCAGGGATCAAAGATACTAAAAAAATGACTTTTAGAATGAGTGTATCCTAAAACATGATAAAAGCAAGTCCTGCCCCCCTCAGAACCTGACTGTAACTATTACACATTTTTTTAAACATTAATAGATCTCTTCTCTTCTCTGCAGCCTCAAATACTACAGCCCTTCAACCCCTGCCACAGCGAGCACCTCCACCAGGGAAGAATAGTAAAACCTCCCCTCACCGAGGACCGCAGTGACCTCACACGGAGCAGATCAGAGGAAGCAACCAAGATAGATGCTGACCGTCCCCTTAAGGACCATATGGTGGACGTGCCCGGGACAGCAGACCTGGACGAGCTTAGTCATCCGCTCGGCACCCACCTGCACCGCCTAGACTCTGAGGCTCTACGGGGGGTAACCGATAGAGACAGTCCAGCAACAGCAGCTCTGTGTGCAGCACAGCATGAGGAGAGAACGCCCGCTGTGAAACTGCAGAACTCTATCACTCCCAGACCTGCTGCTGGTTCGACGTGCCCTCGCATGCTGCAGCCTCCTCGCCTTCACAAGCGCGTGTCTCTCCCGGCACTCAAGCCAGGGGGCGCAGGCAGCTCGGGATCTTTTTCCGGCCCACTGGCCGACCACAGCAAGCAGCTGCCCCCTCCAACCAGAGGCCTTCCCTGCTTTAACACAGGACCTCAGGCACACGCTCCAAGTCTTAGTCGCACTTCACTGCTTCAGCCTCGCCGAGCATCAGAGCCTTGCAGGAATCAATGGAGCACTGAGTCCAGCCTGCAGGAGCCCGACCAGGGGACGCCGAAAAACCTGAAGTCAGCTAAGTTCCTGATCCCTCTGAGTCGCTCGTGCCTCCCCAAGCCAAAGATTCCCTGAGGAGCTTCAACCCACACTTCAAAACTGATATCTAAATTAATTATTTTCTTTTCCCAGCCATAACACAGTGTGATTGTTTTGACTTTTGCGTGTCAAAGGAACATTACATTAAAGTCATTATTATATTACAGACATTATTCAGGGACTTCCTATGCCCATGACTCTTTCAGTGCAACTGCTGTATTGTTTCTAAGTCAGCTTCTACCACTTTAACTTGACTGAAAATATAGTATGTAGCAGGATCTTTCCTTCACGTCAACATAAAGCAGTTCATACACTTTCAGGTCAAGCATTATTTATCTATAATGTGCAGCTTTTAGCCTTGTGCACAAATGCTGCAGATGTACAGCAAAGAAAGTGTAAGCATTCAGAGTCCACTTTTATGTTCTTTTCTAATGCCTGCGGCTGTTATCACATTTTAAAAGTCCAAGCTCACTTGTTCTCACACAGCTGTGCCCTCTGACACACAGGTGCATTTGGTTTTAAACACAGAGGTGACATGAATGTGACATTTGCAGCATATTAGAAAGCCCAGGGGGAAGATGGAGGCAAGAAAAAGAAGTGGGAAAGAGAGAAAAAAAATAACAGTACAAGTGCAGTGGTGGCTGGAGACTGAGGAGGAAATGCGTCAAAGTGTGCTGGAGCTGTCATGTCCAGGATAAAAATATATGTATAAGTGTGTTTGTGTTTTTATGAGTTTGTATTTGTGAAATTGAGAGATGAGAGATGTCGAGGTGAGGCATACAGAGAACAGCTCTTCAGACTGTGGGCGCATCAGTGTTTCTAGTTCCTGTGAACTTCTGAATCCAGGACATATTAGCAAAAGGGGTGATGGACCTTCTGTGTAATTGCAGCCCAGACTGAAATATAGGCTTATAAAAATGTTACCACGCTGGTGTTGGATATATATAAGTTTATACAGTGTGCAAGTGGGGAATTAGCTTCCATCGTGCAGCAGAAAAGAGCAAAGTAATAAAGCTCTCACATACTTGGAAATACTCAGGTACATTGTTGGCGGAACCACAGCCATGCACAAACACACAGTGGGTGCTCAGACACTCTGGAAAGTGACTGTTTTTCCTGGCTTACATTTTGTGCTTTTAGATGGAAGACAGTGAAGAAAAACAAAGTATGGCAAGCAAGTGGAGACAGCATGTAACACCACTAATTCAAGGCAAACATAACACAAAAACATCTGCAAGTAATTCAAATTAGAGAGTGTTTAATGTAAATCATCTCAATTTGATATTAGAAAATGCAGCTGTCAAACGCAGAGAAAAATTGCACTTTAAGAAAGTTTAGGAAAAAGTCAATTAAACAACTTGTTAGGAAATTTACTACACCCTCAACAACTGGCACATCAGCTAAGAGAGATTTATTAAACAAGTGAAGCTGCTTCCCAATGTGTGTGTGTGTGTTGGCTGACTGAGTTTGTTTGTCCTGTTCAACCCTCTCTCTCTCTCTCTCTCTCTCTCTATCTCTCTCTCTCTGCTCTCGCTCTCTTGCACATCCCGTCGGGAACATCAAAGGTATTAGCACTGTATTTTCAGGTAGGCAGCCTTGGGGGGTTTAGCGGTGTTTCTGTGGGACTTTTGGAGGATTGTGTTTATCTTCTCTTTGCGGAGCCCTTTTGCAGTCAAACGAAATGTCCCCGAACGGAGAGCAGCAGTGTGTTAAAAAGGCCTTCTGACAGCAACTCTGCTCTCTTCTCTGTCACGCCGCGTGACCGCTTGGTGTACGCCTCCGGCACTGTCCGGTCTACTGCGTCCAATAATGCACCCTACATAGATAGAGTGAGACAGAGAGAGAGAGAGAGAGACACGCACACACACACACACACACACACAACAAGCAGATACATCCGGACACCCGAGTTACACACACACACACACACACATGTAAGGGAACTCTGACAAAACTCAAGTAGACACAAAACTCAGAGTGAACACACACATCAGTTCTCACTTCCCACTTGCCACAGAAGTGCACTGATACACACACAAACACACACTTTGAATGTTACTACAAAGTGCATACAGTACAAGTGTGTGTGTTTTTTTTTTTTAATGGTTTGATTGCTTTATGAATTTGCTGTAGCCAAAAAAATGATAGCTGTCTCTGATTTACCCTGGAGTGTGGTACAGTCTTGTGTGTGTTTGTGTGGATTTGTGCTGCTGATAAAATGTGTTTACCTGTCGGACGGTTCAACATTGTGCCAAACCAGCCAAGCAGTCAACACCACTGTTTGAAGCAAGAGAGAAACAAAAAACAAAACATCCTTCTAATGAAAATGGAAACAAGACGGAGCGATACATTCAGAGGAGGGAGGAATACGCTCAGGGAAAAACAATGAGACAGGGCAGGAGGCAAAAGCAAAGGAATAAGAGATGACGAGATGAAATCATGAAGGCGTTGTTGTGACTAGAAGCTTCTGGCAGATTTTCTTTCGAATGTTTGTCCACAAAATGTCATGCAGGTGTGTCTAGGAGAGTAGAGGGACTGAGAATACCTAACATGTTTGTTTGTGTGCACTTTGGCCCAATCCCCTTAGATGTGCCACTCAATGCTTTGTAATGCCAAACAGGAAATCAATGTTGCCCGCTGAATGTGTTTGTGTATCTCTTTGTGAGTGTGTGTGCGTCTCCAGACACCTCTGCCTGCCAGGAAGAGAGTGTGTGTGTGTGAGTATGAGAGATGTATCTGCCCATAGGCCAAAGGCAAAGCCCTGCCAGGCAAAGCAGGGCAGCGCCATCCTTCTCTCCCCGTGCTGTAATCCCTATCTCCAAATCAATACACCCGCTCAGTTTAGCAGTCTAGCCAAATGCTCACTCATTCCTAGCTGCGCCCGCTTGCTACGCGATAACAGAACCACAACTGAAATCTCTCTGCTCCAACTTTAATCGATCAAATCAGAATCTTGATTCTCTTTAGTTTGTTAGGAAAGAACACTAAATTATTAAGCTGCACTGCACAACAGCAAAACCCCCATAAGGAGTGGATGAATTGTAATTTTCTGAACAGCATAGGCATTACAATCTTCTATCCATGATGAAGTTTTAATGCAACACAATACATATGCACATCAGCTGAGACACTTGTAACCACATAATCCACTGACATTTTAAACATATAGACACATTTATGAAAAAACTGAGTCATATTTGCAGTTTCAAGTTTCTAGTAGTTTTGTGCATGTGTGATAACACCATTATTGTGAGAAACCTTGTTTCTTGCATTTTAGCACCTTTGGGCATATTGTTTTGGTTTAACAACTCAAAGCTCTATCTTTATCTCTGGAGTACACACCACAAATAAATGCCATTGCTATAACTACATGTCTGTAGCAAGTACAGTTTTAAAGTGCATACATGTTTGAAACTGCAAATATATCTTTGTCTCTTTTTTGAGCAACTCCTCACTTGAATTTGAATTATTCTTTGCTGTCTTGGTGCAGTCCATTGATGATCTTTGGCAGCAGTTTTGAATCCATTACTCTAGTTTTTGTCATTTTCATTATCGCTGAATTTCCTTTTAAAAGCTTAAAGTTTTTGCAGGTACAGTACAGCACGGTGTAACTGTTCATCTCTCCACGCCTCGTCCCAAAATATGCAAACTTCCTCCAATTATCACTGCATAATCTCCAATATCAGCTGCTTCCAGTTGATAAGCACTGTCTCCAGTACTCTATACAATATTGCCTGTGGCAAAAAGATGAGGGAACGCTACACTTTATTTTGGCGACCTTTTATGCAAATGAAAAAAGGCAGGTAAAGCTTTTTGTCAATTCTAATCTGAAGCACTTTAAGTGATGTTAGTAGATGATGCTGAACGAAACTGGAAGAATAAGAATACATTTGGTTATTCTTTGAAAGTGTGTCTATATTTGCAAAATGATATTTTTCTAGGAAGCAATGAAAGAAAGCAATAAAGTTTGAACGAAAACTGGCAAGGGTGTTTTCTTCTGTTGGAGCTTAGTCACCTTTTCACCATATTTGGTTAATTTAATGGCTCCACCGATGTTGATTACATGTCGGAACAATAAACTCAGTGTGTGTTTATTTCCAATCCTGAGCTGAGGAAAAAAATGTTTAAACATCAGGAGTAGATAAATGTTCTACAAAAGAGGTCTGAGGTAGAAATGCTGGTCCTGGGAGGTACAATTGTAAAAAGTCGGAGCTGTTCATTGATCTGCATTATTGACCCCAACAATTGCTTAAACACAACAATCTAAAGCTGCTGTTCTCAGTTCAAGATGAAAGAGAAACCTCATTCTTGTTGTTTTTCTTGTTTTCACTGTATACTGGTTGTATTTATGTGGAAATAAAGTATGATTATTGAACAGTTTGAACTAGTCACCCTTTTTTCTGTTAAACATTTGTGTTTCTCTTAGATTTATTCACAGCGACACAGCCATATCAAATACTCTTAGTGTCACAGGGTCAGAATCATTCATGTTTAAGGGATGTTCAGGTCCCCAACATGATTGTATGGGGACCACAATTAATTTTGACAAGGGAGTCTGAAACAAAAAAAGTGCAAACGGAGATATGGTACTTAGACAAGGATATGAATCTTTTGTGTTAAACATCTCAAAGTCTCCTGTGGCAGAATAAATTAAAAGAAGGTAGCATTACTCATCTCTATGCATTACAAAACCATGCAGCCTCAGTACACCTTGCATTAAGTCCACTTCCTAATGAGGTTATGTGCTTCAGAGACCATGGGTGGAGGACAGCCAGCCGAGCGCGAGGAGAAGCACGACACTGTCATTAACTTGGAAATGTGCAGGTTGGAGATGGAGTGCACAAATTCGTCTTTAAAGGAAGCCAAGCTCTCTTAATATAAACTGTCATACAGTTATGAAGCTTAAAAGTGTTCTTATTCTAGTGCCACACAGTGCTACTTAAAGAAAAGAGGTTTTGTAAAGTAGCAATGTGATTAATAATGAGGAAAGTACAAATTTCTCCTGTAAAAGAGTTGTCAGGGTAACACACTTAACATTAAGTCTGCTTTTCATGCAGCCTTTAGTAGTGCAAGTATGAAAAAATAATGGTTTCCAAGCTATCATGACATATATAGGAAAAATGTTATTATGCGCCTCATTTTTCTTTCTAAATCAAGCCTCATACTAACAGAGTGAATTATTTAAACATAAGAAGACTTGATTTTACCAATAAATACTTGTTTTAAAACAGTGCTACACAAGTTTAGAACTGAACTTATTATATTGCCAGAGTCATGGATGTGAGTGGATGTGATGGACAGATAAACTGGTGATGAACTACTGAAACATGGTCAAAGAACTGGTGCCTACATTACCCACAATTAAACTCCACTACTAACATTTAGCAGATGAGTTATTCTCAGCTCAGGCAATGTAGACAAATGTGAAGAACGGGAAAGACACACATTCATACCTGAGTGTATATAGATTATATAAATGTCCATTTAGTACCAAGTGAGTTAACTTGGTGCTAACTGGGTTTCAAACAAGAGACAAATTAACTACTTTTGTTGTGTTTTAGTCCTATTTTGTAGCAGTTTGGTGGCAAGGATATAAAATATATCCCACTTGTATTATCAAGTCAGAGGATTAAAGTTTTTTTGTGCCTATACCTACAGTAAAATAATTTTACTGGAAGATCCAAATATAGATCTCCTTATTTCATTAAACAATAGCCTATATGTGATCACATTTCTCCTGACCTAGATATTCCCAGCTTTACAATGATATTTTGATTTACACAGATATTCACTTTAATTACTACTGTTCTACTGATTGGTTGCTTAATGTATACATGACCTCTCTATTCCATGTAATTTATATCAAACGCACCCTTTGTAACCCCCCCCCCCCAAAAAAAAAAAAATTCAGGAAACTTTGGGTAGATATGTTTGTTTTGTGCAGCTCTTTGGTTAGCCTTTAAGCTGTGGCCTCAAACAGATCTTTAAGTTGGGACTGAGTACCCTGCAGCTTCATCAAGGTAAGATTCTGCTGCTTGTGCTAACCTGCATTTTTATAGCCTGCCTAAGTTTCTTTGTTGCCTGTAGTGGGGCTGCTGGCTGTCCAGTTAAATGCAATGTTTGTGTGCTGTGCTGAATAGATTTTTGAGGCATGGGCTATGGCCTCGTGATTGGTTTGTTTTTGTTGTTTTATTTGTTTAGGGAGATACTCCATTGGCTCATTGAATTTAGAAGAGGAAAAATCTGTATAGTGGCCTCAGAGATGTAAACACTGTTGTTGTCTTGCTATTTCGATGTTATTGGAGCACTCAACACAAATCAAACCAATGGAAAAATAAATTATTCTGCATATATAAAAGGGCTCAATGTTGCGGCTTGCTATGCTGTTCATTGTGATAATTATATTTATGCTGTTCACTGCAGGCTCATTCATTGTTTACTTTAAGCCTTGGAATGTCACAGCTTTGCCTGGTTAAGGTCTTGATCATAGTATTTTTTGAGCTTAATGTGTGTAATGTAATAATTAAATGCTGCATGACTTCCAGTCACAGTCTGTAGTAGGCCTATCTCACACAAATCTGACTGTATCAATTTGGCTGAGTTTGAACAAGTGATGAATCCTACAGACTTGACTTGACCCAGGAACTCAATGTAAACTCATAGCATCAGTGTCGCAGAGTAGGTTTGATCACAAGGTAGTCTCTAAATATAAAAATGATGTGATTTTAGTAACTTCAAATTCTTAATAATGCTTCAAGATTTCTCTTAAACCAGAAAGTGCCTACTTTGGGTAAAAAATGCAAATTGAAACTTTGAACCAACCGAGTTTAAACATTGGTGTACAGTGCTGTATGTGATACAATAGCGAATATTGACAGCCTTAAAGCTCATATTCTACACAAGAAAACACAGATTCTTTTGATAAAAAAACAAAAAAACATCGCTTGTTCAAAAGACTCATCTACAAGTTTGCAGTGGATGAAAGTTTTTTTTTTAGTGGGGATTCACTTTTGGGAAAAATAATCCCATATCTCAGTCTAATACGGAAGGTAGACATGTCCTACAGGTAGTCTCCTCAACTTCTCATGGTGCAGTGTTGAATGTCACATGGTTAAATCTGCTCAAACCTGACTGTTATCTTTACTAAATGTTACTGTACTATTGATTCAATCACGTTACAAAGGAGTAAACACGTACTTAGTAGCTATTTGTAAGATGGACAGTAGTTGGGAGAGTTGGGACTTTTTTGCTTTAAAAAGTTTGGGCTGTTGTTTCCGTAACTGTACACAGTGTGTTTTCTCACAAGTGATGCATAAAAGGTAAACAGGACACCGCTAATGATGACTGTACAGCGTGCGATTTGAATCCCTGGTGTATTGTAGCCGGGTTAATGTGGGGATTAAACTTGGTCTAATGAATACTTTCACAGTTCTTGATTGTGTTCAGGAACACTTTTGCTGAGGCCAAACCTGGCAGCTGGTCTTTTTACATCTCAGGCATTTTAACAGGGTTGGTACATGAATCCAGCTCATTGTCTGTGTATGTCACAGGTTCTCCTGTTCCTCATCAACTCTCCTTGTTGATTGCAAGATCTTCTTTATGGTATCTGTGCTGTGTGGGAGGTAGATGCAAGTCTAGTCCTTGTGCAGTTATTTAATATACTGTATATTGACTTATGTTGGATAAGTGCATCCTAAGGATATGTTAGGGAGGACTTTAATGGTGAAAATATGCATTTTATTAGACTTCAGTCTTTACATCTCCTCCATGGAGTTGTCACTGATGATTAATGTGCTCTGTCCCACAGAGATGAATGAGAAAATACCAGATGTTGGAGCCAGATGATCTTTTAATAAAGGATTTGTTTTTGCATTTTCAGTTCATCTCCTTCATCCAGCGTTCTATCACTGCTACTTAAAATCTTAAACCAGCTGTGACAACCTGCAAGAGAGTTTCTTAAATAGTTAAGCGATGACACACAGGGACCTTTTTTGTCTTGGCCTTCTTTGTATTTGACTTGTTTTTAGACTATTTCTGCCACCTGGGTACTCGTTCCGCTTCTCTTGAAGGAGAAATGCCAGCCTCGTTCTCTTCCTCCGGCAATACTTTCAAATATTCAAAAATGCTGCAGGCGAGACGGCTTAACTTGCGTGTAGATGGAAGGTTTTGAGGGGAATACACAACATCGGAGCGCGCACCGTGGGTTGGCAGAGGAACATGACCATAATTGGATCCCCTGACAGCTGTTTGACTTCTGCCTCCTTGAGGACGGGACCCTCTCACTCTGATGCTTTAATTCACACACAGAAGCTCATTGCTATGCATAGCTGTCCTGATCAGTCAGAACAACACAGCGGTGATCACCTTTAATGACCTACAGATCACCCATCTACCGCTTCAGAGTGTCTGCTGTCAAGGGGATTTGTTGGCTTGGCAAACAACAAAAAATAGTAGGAACAAAATGATGGCCTTGTGTAGGTTGGGAGTAAAATATTAACGTCTGCGTTGGAAGGCCGGCCTTACCTGACAAACATATCAACACAGTTAGTACGGGACCTGTTTCTGAGGTCTTTGAATCTGCTCAGAGCAAAGATTCAAGACATATAAGTTATGACATTATCTGCATTTCCACCAAAAGTACCAGGGACTTTTAGTCCAGGGACAACTTTTTAAAGGATCAAAGGGTAATCTGCACATAAAAAGTTAGGTTTAAAAGTCTGATTATTTGACCAATCAAATGTTCTGTGCTCCTAGTCCTGGAAGGGATCGCAGGAAAAGGGGTTATTTCATTTGACAAATAATGTACCCTAGCTTATTATTAAATGTATAAAAACGTTGTCTTATGATGGCAGTACCAAATAAAACTTTAACACAACTGAAACAAATCAGAATAAAAGGAAGTCACAATAGTCAAACTGTTGTATAAGGTATTCACTTTAGACATCATCATGACCTCATTAATAGGACTTGTGTGTCTGATCTCTTTTGGTGCGGGTTGTTTGTATTCAGCTCATTGTCATTATTTGTATTCCATTGATTTATTTAAGGCTGACGTTCCTGCAGTTGGGCACAGATGATTTGGCCTCTTTTGATCTCTGGTAATTGTCTAACCTTGTTTTGAAAACTTGTATATCAGGGAGCAAAATGTCAGACCTCGGTTTTTTTTTTCTACAGGTCTGGTAGCTGACAAAAGCTACTAATTGGCATCCAAACTAACAGAAGTCAACATTTGTGGCAATGCTTGTGATTGTGTTTAGGTTACTCAAACCCACAAGAACTTTGTTTTAAGGTCACAGAGGAATGAAGGCTGTGAACAAAACATTGAGATGTTGTCACCTTGTTTGTGAGCGAACTGTTGCCTTTTTAATTGTTCAGTCTTT